GTTTAAATAAAATGTTTGCTCTAATGTTCTTACAATCCCACAGAAAATCATACTTGATAAAATAGTACTTAAATAGAAAATAGTTTTGTCACATTTATAAAGACTTGTTTAATTCATTTACAAATGTAATGGCCTTTGCACCTACTATGTATGTCAAGAAAGAAAGGGTAATTATAAGTTTATTATACTTGATAAAATAGTTTTTATATAGAATATACTTTTATAAATTATAAGTTTATCACAAATAGCATGAGTCATGATAACATTTATGTTCAAGATTACGATCTTGTTACTGAGCCCATATTTACCATGTATATTGGATATTTGGCCCATTAGAAGAAAGCAAACGCCCGTCCGTCTATGCCATTAGACCTAGGAAACCGGTTCATTGTAATCAAACATAGATAAAATTAAATAAAGGGAGAATTTCATATATACCCTTCTTAAACATCAAAATATCATATTTACCTAACATAATTTCTAAATATCATATTTACCTTTTATAAACTTTCTAAATATCATATTTACCCTTCATAAAATTTCAAAATATCATATATATCCTTTTTAAACATCAAAATATCATATATACCCTTCTTAAATATCAAATAATTATATATGCACTTTTTAAACATCAAAATATCAATGATAATATCTACAATATCCTCCATTTACAAAATAACAATAATCAACAACAACAAAAACTAAACAATCAAAATATACATTCCATAGAAAGGGTTAAAAATAAATCTTTTTGTCTGTCAAGAGGCCGACATTCCAACAATTTACAAGTTCACATTCCATTTTTATAAACGTAAGGATAATATTATTAAATTTCTTAATTATTATAATAATTCTAAGGTATAAAAATGATTATAAAATATTAAAAACATTATAAAAAATGATTTGGGCAAATATGACATTTTGAAGGTTTATGAAGGGTAAATATGATATTGAGAAATTAAACTGGGCAAATATGATATTTTGAAGTTTAAGAGGGGCATATATGAAATTCTCCCTTAAATAAATGATTTTTGTGGTCAACAAAAAACAAAACTATAAATTTTGAATAGACAAAACTGCATAAATGGTCCACGTAGTTTGCTCAAAATTATCACTTTGGTCCAAAAAAATTTGGACTAGCACCAGAGGTCCAAACTTCTCATTTTGTTGCGAGTTTGGTTCGATTTGCTTAAAACTTTTTTATAAAGACGATTTTGCCATTGATTTTTGTTTTTTTTAGTTATTTATTTATTTAAATATTTTTCTGATTAAAAGAAAAATAAAAAAAATAAAACAAATCTCTATCTCCCTCTCCCTCTCCCTCTCTCTCTCTCTCTCTCTCTCTCTCTCTCTCTCTCTCTCTCCTTTTGAAGAAAATATCTCATCTGGGTATCTTTCCAATCTCGTTTTCATTTGGGTTTTTTTAAATCATAACTCAATGGAAATCATCTGTAGGTTTTTTTTTAAAGGGTAACTTAAGAATCAGATTCCTAAATTCGAATCAAAAACTAAAATCGTGTGTGTTCGTGTTTCTAGAAATCAGTTTAAGAGTGTGTGTGCGTGTTCTAAATTTCTGGAAATCGATTATTGGGTGTTCATCCCTCATCTTCATATGGAAATCGATTATGTGTAATTGGATTTATGCTTCGACGGTTGTTTATAGGAATAAAAAAGATGAAAGAAAGTTAGATGACTAGATATGAAGAGGAGGGGTTTCAAATCGACAGATCTGAAGAAGGATTTCAGACTTCACTAGCTCAGATATGTTCTTGTCTGAGGAGGAGATCAGATACATGAGCTCACGACTGAAGACTATCGTCAGAGAGATGAGGTAGAGAAGCAGATTTTGATTCAGGGTTTTTTCCTCTGTCGTTTCATCTTCAGATCATCGTCTGTGTGTTCAGATGAAGAGCCCAAGAACCTACGCACTCGATCTGATTTCGTTTTCATGATTTCGTTTTCTTCTTTCTCCCTTATTCGATCTTCCCTCTATTTCGTCTTTTGATACCGTGGTACTGGAGGAGTGGAGGGTGTGGTTGGGGTGGGTTTTTCGGTGACACTGAAAATCAAGCCACAGATGGTGAATATGAACTGAGAATGGTGTGGTGTTGATCCTGACAGTGATGAAGAACACAAATAGATATGAAAACAGATGGAGAAGACGAACATATCTAAAAACAGATGGAGAAGACTAACCTTAGAAATGATTTCTCATTCTCTTTTCTCCATCTCCATTGTGAATTGACGTGTTCAACAATTTGTTCTAGGTGTTTTTTTTGTTCTTGGAGTTTTTTTTTTTGTTCATCTGGACAATTTTCAAAAAGAAGAAGATGGGTAATTGGAGAGAGAGAGAGAGAGAAAGATTTATTTTTATTTTTTATTTTTTAAAATCTGAAAATCAAAATCACAAAAAACAATTAAGAAAACAAAAAAGAAAATCATATTAACATGGGCAAATCTGTCCTTTTGGAAAAAAAAAATCTGAATAGAATGGATTAAACAAGCAACAAAATGAAAAGTTTGGACCTCTGGTGTTAGTCCAAACTTTTTTGAACCAAAGTGGTAATTTTGAGCAAACCACAGGGACCATTTGTGCAGTTTTGTCTTTTGAATATGGCTAGTTCTTGAAATTTTGAAACATTGCATCAAAGGTTTTGATTGATCGGATTGAATGGTCGCCAATGTTTTAAAAACCGGTTTGAACCGGCCGGTTGAACCAGTTGGACCGGGAACCGAGGGATGAAACGGTTCCAACTATCACCAGTTTTACATTGATTTCTGAACCGAATTGAACCAACTGGTTTTTAAATAACCTGGTTAAACTGGTCAAAACACCGGTTGAACCGGTTAAATCGAATAAAAACACATGAAAAAAAATCATTTACATGATAAACTTTGGTAATTTTTTTTTATATATATTTAGTTTTCTCTAAATAAAAACATATGGTAAATGTTATAAAGTTTTTTAATATGTTTGAATTCATGTAAAACTATATTTCATTACGGTATTATACTTTATTTTCTTTTTGATATATATGAATTGATGTAAAACACTAAAACTTAAAATTATGTGTTTTTTTAATATATTTGGATTCACCTACAACTTATTTTTATGTGTAATTTTAATATTTGAACTTGTAAACATCAAATTCAAGATTTATACATGTATCTATGTGTAAGAAAATAGGAAAAAAAAAAACATGAAAAATATAGACAACCGGTTGATTTGGCGGTCGAATCGGTGTGTAATTTTAATGTTTGAACTTGTAAACATCAAATTCAAGATTTATACATGTATCTATATGTAAGAAAATAGGAAAAAAAACATGAAAAATATAGACAACCGGTTGATCTGGCGGTCGAACCGGTTAAACAGGGAACCGATCACCATACCGGTTTAACTAAAAAACCGGTTTTTAAAACATTGATGGTCGCACAATCACAAAGAACTAAAAGATAACTTCAAAAATGATTCTTAATTGATAATCTAAAAATTGTTTAACAAAGGAATCATATAAGAAGGAGAAGATAAGTTTTAATTCTCAACACTAGTAGATCAAAATTGATTAGGATAAGATTTCTAATCAATTAACTAAATCAAATCTTAAAAAATAAAATTGTCGAAGATAAGATATATATATATATATATATATATATATATATATATATATATATATATATATATATATATATATATATGAAAAAGTGAATATGTGGCTGTTATATACCTCTCTTTCTCTCTCTCTCTCTCTCTCTCTCTCTCTATATATATATATATATATATATATATATATATATATATATATATATATATATATATATAAAATCTATCTTTTTTCATAGTAATAATATTAAATAAATAAGATTATATTTATCAATAGTTTGTACTACATGACATAATGACTAATAAACAATCATAAAACCGTTATCATGTTTTAAAATTTCAATATGTATTTAAATTGTTATATGAATTTAATATACAAAAATTAAAGTTTATATTTATAATTAAACAATATAATATGATATATAACAAAATATTATAAATATTAAATATTATATTTAAATTATAACTAATAAATAAAAATAAATTTAAAATGTTAAAATATATAGAAATAAGGAATACAACTGAAAGTTCATTCCCATTTTGGGTCCTTTTACCCACCAAAATTTTCAACATTTACTATACCCTAGTGAATAATCTGGTCTTCGGTCTAGTTCGTTTTTCTTCTGAAGGCCTACCGAAAATCCATTACTCTTTTAATATCATTCATTATTCACGGAAATTCATAATTTTACAATATTAAATGAAAAAAAAAACTAAAAACCATGGATATAATACTTTATCTTCAAAACTTTCAATAAATAATATTTGTATTTTACTTTTTTTTCTTTATAGTCATATTAAAATCCAATTGGTGGTAGCTGTTTAGAAAGTCCAATATAAATTATGATTAAGGAAACCTTACATTGGTGGTAGCTGTGTTGGATGAATCCAACACAAACTTGATAAACATGTCAAAAAGAATACCCAATTGAATTTGATTTCCGGTAAATCAATAAAAAAATACATGTTATTATTACTTCAAAAGTTCTAAAAATCTAAGAGTCCTAAAACTGGATAAATGATTGTTAAAGAAACAATATCTTTTTTTTCTACATAATTAAAATAGGACAAGAAACTTTGTCCAAAGTCAGAGAACACTTCATTGTCCATAAGTCCCAAAATTGGATAGATGGTTCAGAAGTTGATGCAACAACATTTACATCATGTTAGTCCCATACGTCACCTAACATATGATGAAGCATCCCAGCACACTCGAGAGATTGTACCTACATACTTGATGTAAAAGAAAAGTTATTAATATAAAGTGTTACATGGTAGTTGTCACAATTTTTTTCATTTTAATAATGATCATATGGATTAGTCTAGAGAATCTTACTCTCATAAACACGTGCACTCTTCTTTGATGGAGCTTTGATACACAATACATGTTATTGGTGCTTCATTAATTTTTGACCTAATTGAGGGACCACTTGTAGATCAATCTGTAAAAGTAAATAAAATCCATAATCAAAAGTAGCTTTTAAGAGAATCTGATCAGTTTCATTCAGGCATTCTGTCAAACATCTAACGTGCAAGTCAAATCATTAGATTGTGATACTTAATTTGATACATATACTATATTCTAATTTGCATCTCCAAAGTAGCAAATGAAACAAATAAACCCTCAACACCATATTTTAACTTCGTGAAATAAAGTGAAGAGGAACTATTAAGTTGTCTATAACCCTTAACATCATCCACCATAGCCAAAAGATGGAATCTGAAAAGAATAGATCATCCAAGCATTTATATAAAGTTCATAACGTGTAAATAGTTTATTTAGTTTTGGGCATGTTTATCTTTTCCATATAGTGAACTACAAATTTTATCCCATGCTGAGAGTCTAAAATCACAAGATAGAAACTGAAAAAATAGAAAAAAAGAACATTTTACATGGAGAATATTATACCTTTCGAAGTGAGTAATGGAAACTATCAACGAAGTCTGATACACCAAACATGCAATCATGTTGTCTCTTATTTGGAAGGTGATAGTGGTTCCTCCATGAACGGAGGCGGACTTGCCAACATCTGCTGTCGTTAGAATCGGTGTGGTGCTGAGAGCCAAAAATCACAACATAGAAAGTGGAAAATACAAAACAAACATTTTACATAGAGAATATTAGACCTTTCCAATTGAGTAATAGAAACTATCAACGAAGTCTAATACACCAAGCATGTAATCAGGTTGTCGCTTATTCGAATGAACTCTAATCTTCCCTATGCAAGACAAAAGAAATCAAGAAACAAAAACGAAGTGGATGAGTCACAATACCCTCTTTATGATATCCCTTATATTGCCATAATTTATACCCTCTGAAACATGAGCTTAGTTTATCAGAACGTACAATCAAGCATATATTAAATTCATTATTGATTAAAAGATAGAGTCTTGTAATTTGAAACAAACACATAATTAGGAAATATAATGAGAAAGAGTATGTAGGGTTAACAGATCGAGAAGTGATAATGGTGGCCCTTTAGGGCTTCTAGATCCATATCCAAAGAAGTCTCCACATCTTCTATGACTCTGAATACACATACACATCAAAATGAAAATGGGTAAATAAAGTCTCAAAATTAACAGCATGCAAGGAAGGTGATACATGAAAGCAACAGACAACAAATGTACCTTCAAGGATATGAGAAATAGAGAGTGGAGTAAAACACGATTACCACCGCTGGTAATTTGATGCCAACAAGCAATTTTTGGAGCTTTAGACCAAACATCGACGGAAAGAATGAGATTTAGAAAAGGGATACGATATTGATACAATTTCGACGGTAAGAGAGGGCATCACTGATGGCAGCAGAGGACAGTGGAATGGTCATCGAAGGGAGCTGGTGTGGCCGATGCAGTTGGAGGTAAATGTCGATGTAGGTGAATCTGTTGAAAGCAGAAATGAAATGGGAAGAGATAGAGTGATAGAGATAAAGAGTAAGGCGGTGGAGCGGTATGAAGCATATGAATTATAATGGAAGAGATGAGTATCAGGGAAGAAAACTCACCGACTGAAAAAGAAAAAAACAAAAAGAAATTTGATGTTGGTCCAATAGAAACAGAGCATTCTTCCTAAGGGTACCTCTCTCTCTCTCTCTCTCTATATATATATATATATATATATATATATATATATATATATATATATATATATATATATATATACACAAAAAAAAAAAAATTAGGACATGTCTTAACAAATGTGAAGGACCTACCTTGTTTTGAAAAAAGGAACAAAAAAGAGTATTAGTTAAAAAAAAGGAATATGATTGAATTTTTTCTTTGATTTAGAAACATATATTTACTCCTTATAGTTAGTCTCACAGACTACTAAATTAAAGGAAACTTTAAAGTACAAAGACTAAATTAAAGGAAACTTTAAAGTACCTTTGTGCTTGATGACTAGGTATGATTCATGTTTGACGTGTTACAATTAGTTTTGTTTTTTTTTTTGTTTATTTATTTATTTATTTATTTATTTATTTTAGTATTATGTTTGAAAAGTTAAAAAGTAGTTTATAAACTAGCTTTTAAAAAAAACTACATAAACTAGATTTTTAGGAGTTTTTAATTTTTTTTCTTCAAAATATACTATTGATTATTATAAAAAATATTTTTCTAAATGCCATTTTATGTTAACTTACACTCTATCTTTCAGCTAGCTTATTAGCCAGTTTTATCAAAAATTATTTTTTATCAGCTAACTTTTCAACTATCAACTAGTTTTTCATATAACAACTAGTTTTTCAGCTAACAAAATGTTTTTTAGCTAGTCGCCAAATATAGACTTAACTAATAAGTTAAAAGTCAATTAGTCAGGAAGAATTTTAATTTTAAATTGGCTTCTGCTTTGTTTAAAAAAAAAATTAATACATATATTTATATAAACATGTTTTTTAAAAGATCCAACCGGTCTAGTTAAACTATTTTTTTTTTCTTTTTTCTTCGCAAACCGGTCGGTTTCCACTATTTGCTTAACAAGCAATTTTATGGAGATTAAAAAACTGATAACCTGAATGATTCTTGGTTCCACAGATTGAACCACCGGTGCAGTTCAGTTTCATAACGATACTTGTATGGATACAGTTGAACCTTCTTAGTTATCACAGTGATTTTTTATTTAGATTCTGCCACTTCTGAAAATAAAGAAAAAAAAGGATTCGGACTTGGCGATGATATTTTTTATGTAAGCCCAATTCTTTTATGGGTTAAGTTGATTAAAAATATTAAAATGGATAATGGGCTTTTTTAAAATGGTATTAGAAGAATAATTATAAACAGTTCTTGTGTCCAGCTGGTTAAAAACCATTGGAAGGATTGATTATGATTTTGGTATGGCTACTTATATCATATGATTTGAAAAGTAGGTAATTGTGACAAAATGGAGTTTTGGACTGATGTTTATCATGGTGTTATTCCTTTATCTTCCCGATTTTAATGATTATTAGCTCTTTTTCAGTTTTAATTTTATTAATTTTGACCAATTATTTCTTTAAACATTATTATTTTAATATAAACAGTTGCAACTCACAAGAATACACTCATATCTCAATGTTTAACATAATTTTTATTTTTTAACTAGCTCCTGTCGAAATCCAAACATTTTTTCTTTTGAGTTTTCATTTTATTGAGGTGTTACTTTTAGCTAGGTGAGTCATGTTATTAGCCATGTGGATACAATATGAATGCGGCATAACAAGATTGACCGAGTGAATCCGTTGAAAAGCTTTTTGAAAATATGGAGGAGGACATAGAAGAAAAAGTTTGATGATTTGAATTAGATAATTAAAAATATACATTGTAATTTAATGATATACGTTTTTTTTTTTTTTTTTCATGTAAGAGAGATTTTTTTTTAATCTTTACGCATAAACTGTTTGTTTTTTTTTTAAATACTGCAAACCTAAAAAAAGTTTGTATGTTATCTTCTTGGAATATACATGACTAATCTCTTAAACTTAGTCTAATTCCTGATATTTTAATAGAATTTTAGAGCAATTTTATATATTTGTTCACTAAAAATGATTTAGAAAAAACATCTTTTCAACATGTTTTTTCAAGTACATTTTGTAATAATAATAATAATAATAATGAATTATGAAATTATTTCGTCAAGCTAAATGTTTCTTTTAAATTTATTTTTTAACCGACAAATTTAATTTATTTCTAAACTAACAACACCTAATTTCATATATATTCGCAAGAGAAAAGAGAACACCACCTAATACCCTTAAGATTAGTAGATGATTGTCTTTAAATAAAAAAAATATAATTTTATGCAAATTTCAAACAATATTTATTGAAATACGACTAAGGTATTTATTGTGGCAACTTTATTGGATGAGAGTGAAAGAAACACTTGTTTTGTCTTTTAGAAGAGAAGATAGTGCAGTGATCTTTGTACGTATTTAGTTAGACCGACAGTACATGTGATTGACGTGTATGGCTGAGGTACGTCGTCAGTCCTTTGGTTTGCCCTTATTTCACGGATTGGGCTATTAATGAGCCCAATATATACACATTTATTACACTTCCAAAACTCAAATTTATCAATTAAAATGCACATATTTTATTCACTTTGTTTATTTGAGGATTAAACACGATCAAAACAAGATGTGATATATCACTGAGATATTGTTTTTTTGGAAAATATAATAAAATATCAATTTGTTAAACAAAATGGATTTTGTGGAGTATCGTTTGAAACGGTATATTTGGCAATATTAGAACATGCAAAATATGATGCTATTTTTTGAAAGACTATATTTCTAGGTTTATGAATTATCTAGATTAATCAATTAACATATACCTTTATGCCTTGTTTCCGAGTTTTTTTGTAAATTCATTAAAGGAAAAGAACGAAATTTTTGACCGAAATAAAAGGAGGGGAAGGAAAATATTCATTATATCATGTTCTCGAGTTCGAAGGAAATGAAAAAAATGAAAGAAAAATTTCAAGTTTTTGTGTCCCGAGTTAGGAGGAAAAGAAAATAAAACTTAAAATTTTCCTTCCCCTCACTTTCTTCCCAAATCCGCCCAATTTGGGAGGAAAATTTCGAAGGAATATATGACTCCAAAATCCTTTCCCTCCCCTCACTTTCATTCCATTAATGAAAATCGGGAACACGATTCTCCTTCAACACCCCTCACTTTCCCTCCTTATCCTCTCATTTCCCTTCTTAAATAGAACTTGGGAACAAGGAGTTAAGGGTTATGCAATTGGTACAAATAGATAAAGCTCTATAAATTAACTGAACTAGTCAATGCTTTGAGTCTATTAGGGTTTGAATACATCTCTCCAATTCGTAACCCTAACAACTTGCAGAAAGCAACCTTGGTAATTGTCGTTTTGTGTCCTTTAACCTCAAAGCTCATCACATTCATCTTCTTATTGTAGTTTGTAGTAGAATAAGCCAAAATTAGGGTTGAAAGAGGTACATCTTCATGATGAGTCAATGCCTTCTTTAAAATCGAATGATTTAAACATTCAATTAGGGGTTGAACTTCCATAGAATATTTCGAAGCATCAAGATCAACAATCATATTTTGATTCTGCTTGACCACAAGATGAATAGATGAAGCAGATTGATCTATGAATGAAACATGATAAGCAGAAGACTCCATTTATGAACGACTGAAATAAGAACACAAAGAATTGAAGAATAATGAAGAATGCCTTGTAAAGCTTTTGGATCGTTTGAAAGCGTAAAAAGGCTAACCGTAGACAATTTTGGTATTTATATGGATTGGGATTTGGAAACATTTAATTTGAGTTTTAAAAGTCTGGGATTATAGGAGAGAGAAACCTCCAAATTCACGCCATAAATACCCGTCTAATCCCACGTCAGTATTGCATCTCGCGCCCATCATCACGTTAAATAGGTCCAATGAGACTCATCATTTCTTCAACGGAAATAAAACAGTTGTTCATCAATGTATTCGTAGAAAAGTCTTCGCATAATAAACACAAAAGACCTTCTCACAATATAGAAACATGCCATTTCAGTTTATAGCAGTTTCATAATCACTAAGTCTACCCTCTAATATTGCTTATATTAAAATAGTATCTATTAGAATTATGATCAATATTATGCCAAAGAAAATTTCATTTCATAATCGAAACCAGGGTAAGGTTTGTGGTGTTTCATCACAACCATGTTGACAATAATTATAACATTGCAAAAATTACAAAGTGATTTTTCATTTTCAAAATAAATTAACCAATTAAAACATTTCTCAAAAATCATTAAGTAACATTTGTTTGGTTAAAACCATACATTATCAAAGTTAAATTTCAAAACCCCTTAAGTGAATATCTTTGATGCACATATATACTCCTGCCAAGCTCTTCTCACGAACAACTTGCAAAATATTTAATCCACAAATTCAAGCATAAAGCTTAGCGAGTTCCCAAGTATACCATATATTCTACCATACATACAATGCATTCACATAAAGTCATCAACTCTAGTGTCAACCTATTAACACACATACAACATACATATATATACAAAATGAGTGAATGTTGTGGTTCTCCTACAGTCCTACGTATCGTTGCCATGGTCCTCCCATGGTCTTTCATGTCATTGTCGGGGGGAAAATCCTGGTCTTTCATATATTACATAAACTCATATGGAGTCTTTGATCAAATAAATAGTCGAACAAATGATCCACCTGAGTGCAAACAATCAGACAAGAACATCACAATAAGGCATTTGACCAAGAGTCCTCAGGATATCCAACTTAAACAACATAGAACAAATACTATCATTTCCCTATCCATTCCTGACTATAAATTTGTTGTGATCTAACCACAGTCTTTCATACAAACGTTGTGATCCAACCACAGTCTTTCATATATGTGTTGTGAGCTAACCAGAGTCTTTCATACAAGTCTTGTGATCTAACCATAATATTTCATACATGTGATGTAATCCAACCACAACCTTTCATACCAAAAGTCCCAAAGATAATCTAGCATAATGTAGCACCTGGTTTCCGGTATGTGAATTTTATTTGAGCATTGCCCTATTTTAGCCTTGGACTCGGCGAGTCATAAGGTCCGACTCGCCGAGTAGGGACGAGACTCAGGACACGTTTAAGTGGGCGACTCGGCGAGTCCATAACCTGGACTCGGCGAGTCACCGCTGCTGGATGAAACCCTAAGTTTCAAGGGTTTGCACCCTATTTAAACCCTCATTCCGCCCCAACTCGTCCCCATTCACCCCCAGAACTCCCCCAACATCGTTTTCCCTTATTTCCTTGAGAGATTGAAGTGTTCTTGGTGTGTTCTTGAAGGTTTTGAGGAGAAAGAGGAGTAGATCAAGAAGAGGAGAAGGAGATCAGCCATCTTTGTGTCATTTCAACATTTTCCTTGAGGTATATCTCGTTTTTCCCCTGTTTCTATGCTTAGGATTTCATTTGAGACACTCTTGAGCAATTCTTCAAGCTTGTTTGTGCTTAATGTTTCGTAATAAGTGGATTAACCTTTAGATCTAGGCAAGATTGAGCTCCAGGAGCTCAGATCTGTTAGCTTTATGGCCCCATGTGGCTTGTTCATCCTAGATCTACCCTTTTGAGGCATTTTGCACCCTAAAATCCACATTAGTGAATATCCACACGTAAAGTTGAAAACTTTACGTGTGATTTGTGTCCTAGAAGTCCAGATCTATGAATGGCATGGACTGAAATCGAGTAAATCGGTGTATTTGGTGGATGCATGGTGGCGACTCGGCGAGTCGTATTGGCGACTCGGCGAGTCTGGTCGCAAGTCACCGATTTGGTCCCTTCATGATGTATCGAGTTGAGCCGTGAGTCACAGGGGGTGACTCGGTGAGTTGGGAGCTGAACTCACCCATGTTAGGACTCGGCGAGTCAATGCCCTGACTCGGCGAGTCCAAGGCAATCTTCATAGATCAAGAACAGACTCGGCGAGTTGTTCATACAACTCGGCGAGTCTTAGCATAAAGTGTTCTTCGGATGAAGATGAACTCGACGAGTTGTTCATACAACTCGGCGAGTAGGATGAAGGAGTTGAATGACAGTTAGAAGATGAACTCGTCGAGTCATAGCCCAACTCGACGAGTAGAACCAGGGACCCAGGACAATAGTTTGCTAGGGACTCGGCGAGTGGAGATCCACTCGGCGAGTCGGGTCAACTGAAAGTTGACTCTAGCATTGGCTTAGAGCTAGACCGGGGGTAAAATGGTCATTTTACCTAAAGGACAGTTAGCAGTGTTTGATTGAGTATGTTGTGGGAATTGCAGCCGGAGGACTCCCGGAGCAGCAGCAGTCAGTTAGTTCCCGATCAGTTCAACAGCTACTTTGAGGTGAGTTACCTTCCAGTAGCGGTGGGTCTAAGGCCACAATGCCGGCCCACCAGTAGGAGACGTATGATAGATGATTGTCTTTGTGAAATCATCTAGGTTTGCTATTACCTGTTATGTTATATGCTATCATGATACGTTATATGCATTAGTAGTAGAGTTCGGTTGTTAGGACCGCTGGGTAGTCAGACACCCCATAATTATCTGACTGTATGTGATGGTATGCTTGTATGTTGGTCTGTTATGTTATGCGATAGAGGTAGCGGGAGGGGACCAGTCCCCGAGGATCGGTTGTTAGGACCGATGGGTAGTCAGCACCCCAGAATGGCTTGACATGGGTAGTCAGCACCCCAGAATGGCTTGACACGGGTAAGACGGCACCCCAGAATGGCCGTATGGGTAGGTCGGCACCCCAGAATGGCCGTACCGGGTAGTCAGGCACCCCAGAATAGCCTGGCAGTACGTATGTTATGTGTTTGTATGGTATGTGGTACGTTGGGGGAACTCACTAAGCTTTGTGCTTACGTTTACAGTTTTGTTTTCAGGTACCTCTGCACCGAAGGGGAAGGAGCCGGCGCGGTAGCGGCACGTCATACACACACTCTTCGGTTTCCGCATTTACGAGATTTACTGGGATTGTACTCTGATATTTTGATGGGATGTATGGTTTGACCTTTTAGAACATGGTTGCGATGTGTTATGGTGTGATCAAACAATGTTTTTATTTATTAATGATTTCTAAAGTAATATTTTAAAATGAAATTTTCGGATGTAAAAATTGGGTCGTTACACATAACATGACACTAAGTATAATACAATGCACATAAATAGCAAGAAGCTATCATGGCAAACTAGCATACTTGTATTCTAACAGTACATCTATCCTACCATGAAAACGATATACAATGAGATACGTGGCATAGTGAGAAACCCACCTACATTGAAGAACCAGAGAAGCACAACAACACTCACACACCTTACACTGCTCAACCCCGCGAACTGACTCCAAAGGTCTAAAAACCCGAAGAAGGTGATGGTTCTAGACTTTCTCTATGCTTCCTTGCACCAAAAAGGAGTTCCTTTCTTCACAATCTTCACCAAATCAATAAGAACAAGATCAAAACCAAATAAACAAGTTCTTAATCTTTTATTGAGGCTAAGGTTTCAAAATGGAGCGGTGGAGGCTGAAGAAGATTCCCTAAACCAAGAGTTAGAGCCTTTAAATATGGTGAAAACCCTAAAAATCATGGGCTTGGGTTGCAACAGATATCACGTTGTAGCCATCACTTTGCCATGTCGTGGCAAACGATCCATATGAGTTTTCATTAACTTGCCATGCCAAACCATGGTTATCAAACCACCACACCATGGCATGTCGTTTTCTCCAAAAACCATAACTTTGAACCATTAAGTCTTTAGCTAATCCATTCTGGAAAACGAGTTTTACAACTCGCCCACTTAAATTGGATTTCGTCTTCGAAATATGTCCTTACTGATTACTCTTAAATATTCTCTAAGCCCTTTAAAGGGGGGGGGGGGGGGTTTCCAAATTTACTCCCTTCGGCATGAGTCAACACAACCCTGTATGCAGGAATTTATGGCTACTAACATAAGGATCTTAGAACCAGACGTATAAGCCATACCCCAAACGGAAACTTCCGAAGGTCGAAATCATGTCCACAACAATTTTGGAACAAATCTCTAAGAAAAAAAGTGTTGGAGTAGGTGTCTAAGCCCATAATTATAATTAGTATAAACTTGAATTGATAGTAGCACAATCATTTGGGTTGCTCTCAAACCTAGCAATTGGACAAGATGATTTTATAGAGAGAGGGAGAGAGAGAGAGAGAGAGAGAGAGAGAGAGAGAAGTTGATTTCTTATTTGATTAAAATTTTGAAATAAATGATTTACTAATATATTATGAAAATAATATATTAATTAGAAATAGTAATATTTAATTAATAATTAATCAAAAATTAATTGTAATTAATTTCAGGATTAATGAAATTAATTAAAAGTGCAAGCTAGAGTGCAATTGTTCAGTAGTTGAACGAGAGGCATTCTAGAAGTCTAGGTCTAAATTATACTCACCTCCCTCCTCTCTCCTTAATATTCTTTTTTTAGCTTGGGTATGAACCATTAGAGGCACGACGCTTGTGTTGCTTGCTTCAAAAGTTTCAACAAAAAGGTATGTAACCCTAAACCTTCTTCTTTAGTAATTTTGAAAATTACGTAGGGTTCCCAGGGTTCTTATTTTGATGTTTATAGTTATAGATTCAATAGTGAAAACATAGATC